TCGGTCTTGATGAGGTCATTTATTGAAAGCCAGGTTGAACTCTTTGCGAGGCCGATGACAGGTAGGCCGTTCGTTAAGGCCACTGGCCTTTTAAACATGAAATCTCTCCTCTAACTTTACCTTTTACATATTTGATAAGCTTCGGTTTTAATGGGACTTAAGCATATATGTGGCTGCCATTGCAGAATGAAGTTTAACCAGCAACCTTCCCTGCAGCAATCAAAATATTCGCCCCTGAGGTTTCTTCTACAACTGTCACCGTTAGTGCCCTCCGCAGTCAACACCTGGACCCATTAGTTCCGCTATATAGTCAGGTATATTATTGGTAACTTACCCCAGAACATAGTGTTGACCAACCTATGAACTTTTGCAGAAATAGCTGATAACATCACATTTTGACTTGTTGACCGCGTTTACTCAACCTGGATACCTACAGTTAAATAGAATTCCCACCTTATTCGACACCGGTTGACTTTAATAATGCAAATATTTTGACCTAATAAAAAACGCAGTATATCTTCCACTATGAGTTTTCATATGGATCTGAAACTCAAGCGATTGAAGTCATCAATAAAGCGAAACGACATAGTAGAGTTAAGCTGCCAATGATTACTAATATTCTGGTTATATTATGGGTTCACCAATGTAGCTGGATAACCAGTGATATAACTTTTTATGTACAAATATCTGCAGATCTGATTGTAATATGTACACATAATAACACATAGTAGCATGGCATGTCAACTAGATATAAATAAATACGGATTTTTATTTTTATGTGACCCAGCAAGCGTACAACCTGAACATAAACTGGATAGTCCACCTTGACTAAAGTGGTAATAATATCACTTTAAAACTGCAATATCAGGTTTTGCATAGCTTTCTGCTGCGTCTTTCCATTGGGCTTTTCCAATTAACAGCTTTATTGTAAACAAAATATTTATCCAAAAGTGTTTTATTCAATGGATTGATAATTTAATAGGTTGAGTAGCACCACTGATTTCAACTAAGGACTGCTTACTTATCTTCCCAACTGATTCATATGCCACTCAGTTAGCGGTTTGAGGTAAAAATGTCTTCAAAAACTGAGTAAACATTAGTAAAGCATGGTATATCCGCGGATTAGGATCGATCTGGTAATGGACCAATGAACGTTCCGTTTTGTGCCCTGAAGCTCACTATTGAGTCCTCGCAGGCTCTAGAAATTAGAACTTGTCTCACAACTGTCTTTTTGTCTAATTGGCCGTAAGAGAACTCCAAAAGAAGTAATGTAAATATATTATATATCCAGATATAAGTCCCCGATCTAACGGACTAGAAACCTTTTTTTAGTTAACCAGAGCACTTTGTAGCCTTAAACTACAAAAATGCAGAAAACACGGAAACTAGGCTCCGGGTGCCAAATAAGTCCTCTGATTTTTGACCCAGCTGCTTAACGAAGTCTATATCTGGGATCAGCGCCCTTAATATCTTTGTATATCATTAACCATACCTCTTCTTAGACTTTGAAGACTACCTCAACGAACCTGGTTTTCTCAAATGGATTAAAATGTCTACAATTGGCACGAGCTCATCAGTATCGCGAGTTAACGAATGGGAAGTCTCTTTAAGGTGTATTGGGTTATATCGCCTATGCTTCGAAAATTTGCGTGTTATCACCTGTTGGCTTATGCAAAATTATTTCGCATGATTTCTCACGAAACTTTTCTTATGGAGAACAGACGTATGACTCTTTGATAATAGGATGAATACGAGTACTTGTACATTAACAAAAAAAGTTACTTACGAATTTCGAGTCTGTTTGCTAGTCGAACCTCAAGAATGTCTACCATGTGGATTATTGGTTCCAGCAATATTGTATCAGTCTTTTTCTCGTGCCGAACAGCATATCTACCAAAACCCTGAAAAGGATACGTCGTTCACATAGCGGCCTCGCAAAGTGGAAAATTAGCAATTACTATATCTAGAATTTTTGTATTGCATACTTAGTCATGCGAGGCGCCTTCAATAGAATGATAAAGTATCCGTTCTACAGTGGCGGATTTCTCAAACGTTTACAAATCACACCTGCGATCATATTTCATCAACTAAGTTTATTCTGACAGTAACCAGTGCAAGGAAGTATATTCGCCCAGTCTGATGAAATCCAGGTCACGAGGGGCATGTCTAAGATCCTGTTAAGATTTCATTCTCTCTTGTTGCACAATGGTTGCTTCGGACTTTCCACTTTTAATGCCACTTTTATTTAGTTTTTAGTCCTTCAGA